TCTTTTGGAGTATGGGGATAGTATATGGGATAATTGTATTAAAGATTCGGAATTACTTGAGAATATCCAACTAGAAGCAGGGAGAATCATAACTGGTCTGCGCCGAAATTCCCACAGAAAACATGTTTATGACGAATTGGGGTGGGAACCACTGTTCAAACGCCGTCAAAAGCATAAACTCGTCTATTTTTATAAAATCCTTAATTGCTATAGTCCCCAGTATCTATCCGATATTCTAATGGAAATACAACCCGAAACAAATTATTACAATCTTAGAAACCATAAATTGAAAATACCACAATGTAAAACGTCTTCTTATATAAAAAGTTTTTTCCCAAACACAATAAAACTATGCAGTTATCACCGTCTCTCAATTTTTTTAAGTCCAGTCTCCTGAGTCAGTATCCTATACATAAAAAAACCCTAGTTACTTTCATTATGGAAACCGTAAGGAAAATATCATTCACTGTCAATTAAGAAATAAATCTAGTAATCTCAATAATCATCTTTTCCACCACTACCTATCTGAATCAAAAAAATGTCCAAAATGCAATTCTTCGGATGAAGATAATTTCCACTTTTTCTTCTCTTGTCCATCTTATTCAGCTATCAGAATCGAACTATTAAATTCATTAAAGGTATTCAGAGAAACTATTAATCTAGATCTAATTTTAAATGGCTCTACAGATCTTTCGAACACCTCCAATATCTTGATTTTTGATGCAGTCCATTATTTTATTAAAAGTACTCAAAGGTTTTGATTCGCTTTTACATATTATTGTTGTATAATATCAAATAATTGCATCGTATATATCATTTACACATGAAACTGTATATATGTTCGGTTTTACAATTTATTATATTTAATTTTATTTTTATGTATATGTTATATTTATCGTTTATTATTTTCTGTATCCCTGGGAAAGAACTTATATAGGCTTTGCCTGTTGTTCAATCCTTCAAGTGTTTATTTTAGTAACTTGTAAATATCAGCAGCTGTGCGCCCCTCATAAATTTCTTTTATGACAAGGAATTTGGTTCTTAAAATACCATTTGTTACAAATCTGATGTATGTGATTATGTTTTGTATATTACTTGCATCTGTTGATTTGTCAAAAACCAGAGAATAAAATTTTGATCCTTTAATTTTGTTTAAATTTTCAGATTAAATAATACCCCTAATTACACGAATCATGTCGTCCACAGAGTTATGACTTAACTTCAATCTACTTTTTTTTTCGCTATCTGTTTTTAACAGATATTTGTATTACTTCCTAAAAAATTTAAACTTTCACGGCCCTGACCAATTAAGAGTTTATTTGGGCTTTCCAGTTTTTCTTTGGACATTTCTCCCTTTATAAAGTCATCACATTTTGGTTTAACAGTGTATTTCCATAAGTAACTACATTACTTCGTCCAGATTTGATGAACAATTTACAATATAAATAACCATGGCATGTTCAATTTTCAACCAATGCCAATGAAACTGTTTTAACCAGTAACTTTTAATTTTACGTTTTTAACAAATGAAATGGAGTTTAACGTCCTACTGTTCTGCTCCTAACCTGGGCTAATGAACGTTTTTAACAAGTTTTGAGATCAGCTAGCACTTGAGTCAGAAATGACACTCTCGGAATGAGATTCTGCCATACTGTAACAGTGCATATTGACGAAATATGCACAAATATTTTATTTTAGATATTTTATTTTTATGTATTTTAAAGAATGTATATTTTATAGATTATATAGTTTATTTTAAATGTATATATGTTTATTAAAGACGTTGAGGCTAGAATGCAGTACAAAGCATAAATCAACCTTGACGCTGATTAGGGGTCAATAGATCTTAAGCATGTTTCGAAGGCTTCAATAGAGGGTCCTTTATTGATTGTTTATCTAAAGGTAATTAAGTAAGATTAATGGTGACAGCTTAAACTTTGAAAACAATACGCTAGGTTTAAACGAACGCCAATACCCAGTTTGTCGTTACCTGACATATTAAACCAAGCGGGCCTAGGTCTGGCCAATCAGACCTCGTATTTAATGGGCGTCTTTCATTAATGGTCTTCCACCAATCAAAAATGACGTTAATCCTACACGTGGCATGTTCATTAGTTGGCGGGACATTTGGAAGATATAATTAATCTAGCTTAAAATTCACCATAATCTTCACTTAATAAATTACTAAGAAACGACAATATTGGATCTCTCTTATATTCAGATAAAACAACCAAACGAAAACACTTTTACAATACGAGTAAAGCAAGGCTGACACTTGCACGATTCCATGGCACGCATTGGCACGACTCGAGTCGTGCCAGTGCGCAAACTAGTCGTAAACTGGCGTGAAGTGTGCGTAAACCCGTCGTGACTGCGTGCCTTGTCGGGACGAGAATTTTGAAATGTTCAAAATTTTGGTCACGACAAAATTTAGCGACCGGGTCGTGAACTATGCGCAAACTGTTCGTGAACTCGTCATGAACTCGTCGTGACGATGCGTGGCAGTGCGCGCCATGCCACGACTGTCACGAACTGCCACGACTAGTTCACGACTACTGCGCGACAGTGGCGTTCGCGTCGGTGCATGTGTATATATAGGGCTTCCTGGACACTGCTCGCCATTCCAGAGATCGCCAGCGAAGAGACAACTTATTACAGAGACAACATGCCTTAAACAAAGCAGACACGTCGGGCACGAGACAACCTGTAGCTGTAAATGCGTTCTCGTAGGACCTGTGACCGATTGGAGAATGGTTTCATCATCCAGGTTCGGAAAGCAAAGGCGTCATCCCCTACGAAGTGATAGGGTACTGGCTGGTCATCATTAGGGAGTGGTTCTGGTTGAGGCAATCCAGCTCTGTTCTCTTCTACAGCATCATGCAGGGAACAGTTACTCCATGTTCCTCCATCCGACGCACCACCCTATGCCCCAACATCCACATATAGGAACTTGTAGGTAGCATCTGCCACTGCCATCAGAACAATGCTGTGGAAGCCCTTGTAGTTGTAGTAGTAAGAGCCAGCATTGGGTGGCTTCTTCATGGCGATGTGCTTGCCGTCCACAGCCCCCAGACAGTTGTGGTAGTTCCATCTGGAGCTGAACCTGGCAGTAACTTCCTTCCACTCCTCTTCAGTTTTGGGGCAGCGCAGCACTTCGTCCTTGTAGACTGCGATGATGGCTTTAAACACCTCGGGTATGAACTTGCAGATGGTACTTGCTTCAACCCTGAAGCTGTACTGCAGACTTGGATAGGAATTTCCAGTGGCTAGGAAGCGGAGGGTGACAGCTAGCTTGAGTCCAACTTGAAGCGGTTCCCTCATGAAGGTGGACTGCTTCTGTAGGCGAGGGGTTAACTTCTCAACCATCTCTTGGAACAGGTCAGGTGTGATTCTGAGGTAATTTTTGTAGTCCCTTTGATCTTCCTTGTGGAGTTCAGTCAGTAAACTGTCATACTGTCCAAACTCTTGCCTTCTGGTCAACCATTCCCTGACCCACACTTTCCTTTGTGTCTTTCTTCGAGGTGGGGTTGCCTTTTCTTGCTCTTCTGCCTCTTCCAGCCTTTTCTGCTGCTCTTGAACAATTGCTAGAGCAGCTGCCAGGTATAGGCATCTTCTCTTCCCTGCAATGATTGTGTCTCTGACATTCAGCATGTTGTCTCTTCCACAGCCAATCCAAAAATGACCAGGGGTTGTTGTTGTTAGTTAGTTGTATTTTACGTCCGCTTCCACCGAGATGATATCGCAGACAATAACATGTTATGTATTCAAGGTGCAATAATTTACAATGTGATTAGTGAAAAAGAGGATAATTAGGTTTTTATATATATGTACAGAAGACAATAGATAACAGAAAGAGACATGAGATAACAGTAGGTGTGCCATATGCCGCCATTTTGTTGTCTAAGAAAAAGAAAAAATACGGTTTTCCCCACTAATTAAAAGATCTGTCACAAATACAATGGGCCTGTGAAAATCCGTAGGTTACGTTTTTTGTAACAACCGCAAACAAAATGATGTTTCCTTGAGAAAAAAAACCGAATGTGGATAGGTTTTAATACTTTAAACGGCTTTTGAAATTATTAAAACCTTTTTATATGGCGTGCCCAAGTCGGCACGACACCGTCCGAACTCGTCGTGCCAATGCGGGAAGTGCGTAAACAGTGCGCAAACTATGCGTGAACTCGTCGCGCCAGTTCGTGTCAATGTGGACACTGATGGGCACGCATTCGTAAACTCGTAGTGAACTATGCGTGAACTAGTCGTGAACAGTGCGAGAGCCTCCCAGTTCGTGCCCCAAAATGGCACGACTTGCCACGACAAAATCGTGGCCAAAAGTCGTGCAAGTGTCAGCCTGGCATTACACTCGTAGCCGTAGGCCTCGTGACATTGGCTGTCGCCGTCGGGAAATTTCTAGATGTAGAAGCCGTATCTGCTGTTTCTTTAATAATATACTTCGCGGATGAAGATAGGAAATATGAATCCATCCTTTTTGTTTTCGGTTCGGGCAAATAACTATTTGTAGTTATTATTATAATGTGTGAAAGTTAGCTGTTTGGACATGTTTGAAAACAAACAAAAGAAATACAACCCAGAGAAAAACATTGTGTAATACCAGCACGGGTCATGATCTGTTATATGCCACATGAAATATGAATGTAAGCATATTACCTATACAATGGAATCAAAATTAGTCACTGACTTGTTTTGATCAGAGCCCGTTTATATCGTTTGCAGAGGATGCTAAATGCTAGCCAAAGTTCAATTTATCCGCATAAATACTTAACAGAATCAAATCTGATACCCGTTTTGAAAACTCAACGTTCCCAATATTTTAGTTTGCCAAGGACATATTTTGTCTTTCTAAGAAGTCGGCCAAACCACCCACACCACCAGACAACAGTTATAGAACAAACAATTACGAAATTTTCAGATCTTATTTCCATCACCGAATAATAAATGAATATATCTTTCTAGGTTTTAAACACAATGGATGGGAATGCTGGCTTTGGGAACCTAAAGGGTTGTCATTCAATGTTCCAGTACATCTTGATCGCTTTAACAGGTACGAAATTGACCAGGACCTTGCCAACTCTTTATTGGTATGTTACAATGCAATTGGCTATAAACTGTCGTTCCCAAATGTGCTTGATGGATGATGCCGTCATATTTGAACGCAAGAAGGCGACACTATGAACATACCGAAAACCTAAACTAGCGCTAAATTACGAAGTCTTTAAACATTAATGGCAGTAGGCCCTTTACCTTAAATCACGTATATGCGTTTAGCCAACCACTTAACCAAAATTGAAATGAAATGAAATGGGTTTAACGTCCTACTCCTAACCTGGGCTAATGAAGACGGGGACCAAAATTGAATCCTGGAGATGTCATTTTCCCGGTTTAACGTCCTATTGTTCTGCTCCTAACCTGCGCTAATGAAGACGGGGACCAAAATTGAATCCTGTAGATGTCATTTGTCGGGTTTAACGTCCTAATGTTCTGCTGCTAACCTGGGCTAATGAAGACGGGGACCAAAATTGAATCCTGTAGATGTCATTTGCCGGTTGCGAATATTTCGGAAATTCAATTTAATGACAGTTACTTTATTTTAACTATATACATGCTTATTTTGAAAGCTGTGGCATATTTCATTTATTGGAGTTATTGATAAAAGTCAATACCAATGTTATAAACGTATTATGTCATCACCCTGTCCGTCGGCCCGTTAACAATTTGCTTGTGAACGCGATAAAGGCTAGAGTTTTTGACGGATTGTGAAGCATTATGGTCATGAGAGGACGAATCCTATTGATATTCAGCGTTCTACGACTTTTCGTTCCGGAATTATTCACCTATGCCAAGAACTTTGTGAACGGGAAAGAGACTATGTTTGAATCTTCATTAGCCTATTCGGGGAAGAACATTTACACCTTAAACCCCATTTTATTTTTTTAATGGATCGTTTTCATATTTAGCCTGAAAATTAGGCTCATGTATTCCTATCAATATTCTTAATTCAGTCTTCCGTTCCTTAGTTATTCTCCCTTTATCGAAAACCGCGTGTATGCGAAAGAGGCTATAGGTTTTAACAGGGTTTTTTTCCAAATTTTATTTGAAGCAATCGGGTCATAAGACGTTGAACCCTAGAGATAAGATTTCTTCAAGGATCCTAGATCCGGGTCAAACTTGCTCGACATCCAAGATCTCCTTTCGGATAAGCTGTAGTCGTGAGCGTTTTCAAAGCTTTGCGGAGCTATCTTTGAAAATATATATTTGAGAATCTGTCAACTTTTTCTAAATTCGGGATTAAAAGGCAAATATGGCCAAACATAATAATAAGTAGTCCTGCCAAAAGGAATAACTGTATTCGACCAAAAATGCCTAGAATCACTTCACATTATTTGTCCCATCCCGCCTTTCGAAGCCAGCAGTGGCCTTTAAAATCCATTTATGTTCGACAATTGAGGTAGACTGCTCAATACCAGCGAGTGTCGCGCATTGCTTCGAATCTTCGATGATAGGCATTTTCTGCGTTAGCTAAGCAGAGAAAGGGCAATTTGATTTGTCGATGAATTAGAAAATAACAACGCGTATTCTAATTAAGGGAGAGTGACCCTTTTCTGATCACGTTAAGTGGAGTGAAAAGCAGACATAATAAGCACTTTATGCAGCAAAGTGATCAGCAATTAGATTGGTCGAGACTTTGGCACACCAATTTAGATTCTACTACCCGTCAATCCGCCTGCATGTCACACCCGTTGGATCATAATAACCCTGCTTATAGTTCAAGAACAATCTAGAATTTCATTAGATGATGGGGTTGTCCGCCTGTCATACTCTTTGGAATGCAATAATTCAGGTAGAATAGGTATTTTGATTTATACAACTGACTGTATGTGATTATATATACATACAATTTATTTATATATGTAATTTTATTTTAGTAACACTTGCCAATGCTGTTAATATAGCACTGAATAAACCAGCCCGACAGATAACTACTTTGGGTCCTACTAGATTTGCAACAAAAGCAAATGATGGAAGTACAACACCCGCGACGGATCCTAACTGTGCGCACACACTTTTACCTTTATCTGGTATACCTAATTGGTGGTATGTGGACCTACAATCATCATATACCATAAACAGTGTTGGCATACGTAACAGAGATGAGTGTTGTTGTAAGATATTTTAATATATGGATTATTGTTGAGAAAACAGATTTTCAGGTTATCGAAGTTGTTTATATGATCTCAATATACCCACTTCTGGCAGGTTGATGAATGCAGTTGCCGGGAAAGAAGATGACCAAAGTTGGAATTTTAATAGGAATACTTTATAATTTCTGGACTGTTTTCAAATTTAAATGTCTGATTAAAACGTTTTGTTTTATTAATCCAGATTCATAAGATTAAGTGGTGATAGAAGATCAAACATCAGATTAATGGACTTTGTATATTTCAGCACACCGTACAAGTGATTTCTACATAACTGTTTGGGAATTCGATCCAGGACCCCACATCAAAGACAACATGGAAGTGACGTATTTTACGTGCAAGTATTATGCGGGACAAGTACCAACTAGTAGTGTGGTCATTATACCTTGTACAACTACATGCACAGGGCGATTTGTTGCCTTGATACTTACTAAGCGAACTGAAATGAATATCTGTGAGGTCGAAGTTTATGGAACTCCTGCTCCACTACCATTACGAACTTGTAAGTAAACCTATCACAGACTTCATAACAAACTGTATAATATTTAACCACTTTTAGATACCTAGCCCTTCAAAAACTTTCTAGACGACCCACCCCCATCCCCACCCACCATTATACAAAATCAAAAATGTTGTTCATTGTGAAACGGGCGGAAGCAGAACTAGAAATTGCAGGGGGGAGGGGGGGTAGCGTCCACTCGACACAAAGTAGGTCATTTAGGATCAAACATATGATTCACTTTTATTTCAATAATAGGGGTCTTTAGCAGTGGAATCACCCTCAGGATCCAGAGAAAACCCACGGGGTTGGACATGCGACACATCTCCAGGTCTTGTGATTTCACCCACTTGCGTTGAACCACTTGACCATCCAACTTCTCTTGTCAGTTGAAACTCGACACAAACTAAACTAATTTGACCGATTTATTAAAATAAAACTTCCTAATTTGGGAACGCATTATTCAAAGATATGTTAGCATTGATGGCGTTACTCACACATTCTTTAATTAACGGTTCTTCTTTAACTTTATTTAAAATGTGATTCGAATAATTGTCAGTATTATCTATCTTTTTGTTACCCACACACTGTTAGTTATGTAAATTAAATCAAAGTATAAAAATAGGAAGTAGAAATAGGCTTTAATAAAACGATACAAATGAATCTTGGTATGTGGATTCGGGACGATTTGTGGACCTCCCTTACTATGTAATTAATACAATCACTTACGTGACGTAATAAGCTGCCGGAACTGTTTTTTTTGTGGCAGAAATGTGAAAACTAAGCTTTCTTGGTTTTAAATGATAGATTACACCCAGTAGTATTACAGAAAAAAACGCCCCATCAATTGGCCAAAGGGAATTTTTTTTAGAGGCCTCGAAGTTTTCCTACAGTCGAATCGTATGGGTACCGGCCAAATCACGAATTTGCCTGGTTTCCCAAAAAAGTTTCAAACAATTTTTTTCAATGTAAATACCTCTAATAATTTATATATCAGTCATAACTCTTATAAAACAGAAGAATTTTACATCATTTATTTGGCCCTATGGATTTTGTCACGGCTAACTGTTAGAATCATGGATTTGTCTGATACCCAACACATATTTCAGAAAGTTTTTGTTGAGACCAGAAAAAGGTTAAATATATAAGTATCATACACGGCATAACAACTGCAACGATTAGTAGCCTACCATTATCAAAAGCATCCATTATGCATTGCTGCTATCCAATATTGGTGGTTCTATGACGTATTTTTAGCCATGACATCATCAACACATATACGGGACAAAAAACGCTTATAAGTCCAGCAGTTGCTGCAATAGAAATGCTGACCACGGTTTATGGTCGGTCTAGACGTATATTATCACCAAAAAAAAGTCCAAGACCGAAATCCGTGCTCAAATGGGTCAAATTGACCGAAATCCAAAATGGCCGCTGGTTTTGGCTTGTAAATTCCAATTTCTACCCAATTATCATATGATCGAGTTTGGTATCAAAATATACGTTTTCGGGGTAACTGAATCCATTTCCATACACACTTTTGTGACAGGTGTTACCGCTGAGTCAATATTGGGGATTATTCAATATGGCGGTCAGTTTTGGCGGGAAAATTCGAAGTTTACATAAGAATCAAATTTGGAGATTAATGGAACCCCTACCTTAGACCTAATACATTGACATACATCGAGTTCTAAGTAAATTTCAATTGGAATGTCTCACTGCGGTAGCGGCGTAGGGGTATGTCGACTGAGGCCATTCCCAGGTCACTGTGGAAGCTGATCATGCCTATTGAAGCACGTGGCGAAATTAATTCACAAAATGATTCAAATGTTGAGACACAAATGGATACAGTATTTGTCTGATATGCAATGAAGCATGTGATAATGAACAGCACACCGTTATTCCGAAAATAATGGGTATTCGAGGCTCGTGTTTTTAAGCTCAGTGAAAAATAACATGTGGAATGTCGCAACTTTCACTATTGCACAATGTTGTTACATTATTGAAGTGGAGGAGCCTGTATCAAGGTCTAGACGGTCCGTAGTACCAAAATTCAATTTTGCGGACCGATGTCTCGTACATGGTCTGTTAGAAAGACTAGCAGATATAATCGGTGGCCGCTGTTACAACACCAATTTTTTAGACATGCCAAGACAGGACAATTGACGACTGGACATTAATCTAGTTGTATTTTACAAATCAACATTGAGGCTGGTGTCCCTAAATAGATGACATTCATTAATTACTTGCACATCTAACATATTTATAAAGCATCTAACATTGAAATTGTCCATCACCCTGTGTAACCTAAGCAAAAAATCTCATTGCAGAGTCGTGCTGGGTGGTAGTCAATCATAAATGCAAAAACAACAGAAACTGGAAATGGTTTATAACATTCAAATCCGATGAGATTTCCTACCTGGGTATAGGGAGGGAGTGGGGGTGGCTGTGCCATCCCTCCCTTCCGAAAATGTGCCCTCGAATTTCGACATAGTTACCTTAAATACGCAAGGAAAATCCCACCCTAATGAAAACATTGTGCCCTTGTTTTCTGCTGCCCTTCCCTTGTTCTAACAAAATCCAGAGATACCAGAACACTACACTAAAGAAAATGGCCGACTGAGGTGGACGTGTCGAGGAAGCGAGTTAATCTCCTTCAGTTTAAACAGTGTTATATTTCAGATGATGTATCAAAACTTCCTGAGTAAATTAAGTATGTACTAAATTAACTTTTAATGTGTTAACTGTGACAAAAATATGCAAAAAGGGAGACATTTCGTTGACTTATAAAATCGTCTGTATAATATCTGGGAGATGGCTTCAAATTCAAATCCAAATGATTCCAACAGTATAAACGATTTTCTAGATAATGTTCTAAAAGATGATGGGTCGTTACGGTAATTTATTGGTGAATTATTTAAACGCGAAGTCATAATGAGCCGTATTGTTCACTTAATCCAACCAAAACTAACTCAAGATTTAATTAGTCGCATGGACCATTTAGAAAATAAAATTGATGACCATTATCAATATTCTAGACGAACATGCCTTAAATTCAATGGTATCAGTGAGAGAGCTGGTGAAAATACTGATAATCTCATACTTGATATTATAAATAACCATGTTTTAAATGATCGAGATGACCGTTTAACAATTAACCAAATAGGTCGTACGCATAGAGTTGGATCTTGTAATAAAGATTACCACAGAGATATAATTGTTAGATTTATCAGCTACAGAGTCGTGCTGCAGTATATGGCAATAAAAAGAGGCTAAAACCATTCAACATAGCAAATAAAACAAAAATCTTTATTAATGAAGCCTTGACACATAGAAAATCACAGCTGTATAAAAAGACACGCGAACTCTTCAAACTGAATAAAATAAAAAAAACTGCTGGACATATGACGGCCGAATATATGTAAGAAATCTAGATGATGACAAAAACATATTGATTAATTGTGAAGATGACATAAATCAGTTTTATGACACGCCAAATGTTGAACAGCAAATGAACACTGATTAGCCCGATCACCTGACATTGTTAAACCAACTAACAGCGAAACCAACTACATCTGTATCCACAGCTCAACCGGTTAATTTACCTGATTCAATTCAATCAAGCCCCTTGTTACAACAGTCCTTGTTAGACCTAGTTTTTTTTTTACTTCTACATCCAATCCCAAACCGACTGAAAATGATAAATAAGGTCGATTATAAATAAACATATATGTAAATACTTAACACCAACACGTTATGTGCGCTATGTTATTTTAAAATGTATATTAAATAATAATGTTTACATTTTACCCACAAACTTTTGTAGTTCTAACTTGATTATTACCAATAAAAAAATATCATTCGATTTGCCAAAATGACATGGAAATTTACAAAGCTATGAACGAAATGATATGAAATAATGCTATATCCTGATGAAAGTTCACTAGCTTAAATTATTATGTTAAACAACGTTATTCTATTCTACTAATACAATGATGATATTGTAGTTATTAATTCAATCTATTATATGTATATTGAATATCTTATTCAATACTAGCATCAAATAAATTACACTGAAATATCGTTCTCAACAATGAAAAGAACTCTGTTATTGAAAATATTTGTGATAAAACTTAAAACATGCATTATGCAAGAGCAAAATCTGCTTATTACAAGTCTTTCTTTAGTCCTGAAATGTTATCTAAATTATCAATTAGACATTAATTAACTTATCCAGACCATAATAAACTCTCGATGTCAAGGCTAGCCTTCGATGTTGGCTGGATTAGATTCCTATATGCCGCTAACGGCTATTGATAATTAAATCAATAAAAGCGGATAATCGAGACTATGCTGTTTATATTAATGATTTTAGTAATGATGACCGAGACTATGCAAAAATTTCACCCGCTTCTTTCTCGGCTCATAGTGGATCAATTTGACTGAAATTTTCAGCAAATTACCTTTACACTATCTAGTTTTTAACTATTATAGCGAGAACTGCCATCTCTTTATCTTATCTCCCATCATGTATCTTTAAGTATTACTTGAATAACACACTTTCATTCACGTGTCCTTATTACTGTAGACTTAAGTTCCATCGGAGTGCATAAAAGATTACTTAAATTACTATCTACGAGCTCTACCTCCTTGCATATATGATTATAAATCCCCATGCCCACTAATACTGGTTTTTATTTACTGGCGTTCAAAACATGAAATCTCATTTCAATTATAAGAAAGTAATCTAACTGTTGGAGATGTTGACTCGTACCTCTTTATATTTATGAATTGGTTCGTAACTGTGATTGTAAATATTTTTTTTGATGTTTTGTTTATTGTTATGTAATATATTGTATATTTGTTTATCAACTTTTCAGTATTCCATTTATCAATGGAGTGTAAAATGTAACAATTTCATATTTAAAGTAACCTTTAGTTTAAAGCCACCTCTCTCTCTATGGATACATACCTATATAGATATAAATATATGCTTGATTGCTCCGATTTTACATGTGAAAGCAAAATATTACTTAACGACAGTCATGACTGAAAATAATGATATTTGGCCTATCAAACGGAACAATCAACATACCGTATATGTGATCTTACATCCTACCTCGTGTTATGTTATAAATATTCATCTCTTGCTTATAATTAAAACATTGCAAATTGTCGGTTGCATAGAACAAAATACATTACATTAAGTTCATGTAACATTTCCATTGTTCACAATAATATCTGTAGCCTATTGCCAAAATTAGATATAATTGAAACTGAATTATCCAACCATATGTATTATTGAATTTTAGAATTACGGGGCGCTTTTCCGGATAACGAAATACAAATAAGATAGCTACGGCTACACAAACCACGACTCTGAAAATCGATCGAAATATTAAACCTAATTACACCCATAGTTTAAATATAGAACTAGGGAGTGGTTTTCCGGGAAACGAAATACAAATAAGATAACTACGGCTGCTGGTTACATTTTGTTATAATACTTACCAATATCGACCACCCCCTTAAACTACAAAAATTGAAAAGTACAAAATTTCATTGAGCAAATTAGGTGAATATGGTTAAACGTCTCGTCAACTCGATACTTTGGTTATTTTCACGAAAACAGTTGGTTATTTTTATTTGTATCGTCACGTGTGCATTTTTGAAAGAATTTAGCTTCCGATGTTTGTGCCAATCAAATGGCTAGACAATCAGTCATTCTTACTACCACAGGTGTCATTCGTGAAAAGTGGGAACCATGCTTGAAAATCCCAACGATTTTTCTAGGTCCTAAACCTCTTCGATTTGGTGGCAATTCAATGTGTGTAGACTTTTATTGATGGCGAACTATTTGGGTTGTTTTTGTGTATAGGCATTGTGAACTGTCGAAATGAAAAGTGTATTTAATTATTTTTCAGCAATGAAAATTTCAAAATTCAAGAATAAAAAGGCTATTCCGTCAGTGACACCCACTGTCTACAATACTCAGAATATACTCCAATGCTCTATTATGTGTATGAAAGATGACCAGTGTTTCAGTTTCAACTACAAGTTCAGTGCAGGAGGAAATTGCGAATTATTGAGTGTGGGGGTCCACCCTATCGAGGAAACCGTGGTAAGTTTAGAATGGACCTGGAGTGTTTTGTCAAAGAGAAATGAAGATGTGTGTAAACTTGCTGGGCCATAAAACTAATATCAAAGAACCAGTCACTATAGCCATTATACAGACCAAGATGAATTATTGTGAATTGTACCAGTAGACTAATATACGAGACACCAGATAAAACCTACATGCTTAGCTCATGCGATCCTACAAATGCACAATCCCCAGACCGAAACCATGGCACTTGAAACCATTCACGATGCTGTGTGGTTGTTTCTTAAATTTGGTAGTGTGCGATTTATATTTCTTATTTACGGGTTTTACACAAATCTGTTTCCTTGAGTTAAAGTTACAATTTCATATTTTTAAGTTATATTTTTAAAATGTAGTAAAATAAAGCCCTAAAATAGATGGTATCTATAAATAGTCCTACCTTGTTAAAGAATAATCCTATTAATCCTATAATTCACTATTGCCAGTTGAGAAATTTTCAACTTCAAATTCAAACGTTTGAAGACAGCTATTCCATGGTGGGGAATAGGAAAACAAGGGAGGTAATTGTGTTATTATTTCCGGTGTGAAGATTTTTAAGTGTGAGAAAGATAACCCGTGATCGTATAATAGTGAGTTGACAACCTATTGAGCAAAAGACATATAAATATTTATGTTTTGACTTTCTTAGAAAATATGAAATTGTAACTTTAAATTACTTACATAGGTATATGCATATTTATTTTATCAGCACAGCTATCCAATCGATGGTATTCCGCATGAACGCATTGAAATTAATTACATATTAGTCATAAAGATATTGACATCAGTGTAGAGAAACAACGTTCACAATAAGGCTGTGTCGCTTATGGTGTTGGATGCTTTGTTCTGTCTCCGATCAATCGATCAGTCAACTCTGCTGGGGAAACTTGAGATCAGCTATTGTGTAAACGTTCTAACTTTAAAGCTGTGGGAATTCCTACCTGTCCCGGCGAACACGCCGTATCCCAACTGACTTCAACCAGTCAAGCCTAATGCATTGGAAGTCGGTGTTGCCCAGTGGCAGTGATACAATTTAATGCTGTTATTCATTTCTGCCCAAAGAAAACACCATATTAAATTTCAAAAATTATTTGTTGATGCTAACTAACAATCTTTCTGTTTCAAGTTTGCAATTCAGTTCGCAATATCCGTTTTTAAATAATAAAAAAAAATTGCTATGTGAAATTTTCTGACAGCGATTTGCTGGTGGTGGCCGTTATAGTTATAATTAACTAAAAGATTAGAACATGTTTCTGCTTCAAAAGCGGATGATATTGTTACTGTTTTTGGAGCCGACAGACCCACCTTGAGATTATGGATATGCCAGAATCAGGGATTCGGTTATGAATTTTCTTGCAGAAGATGTGATAATTTAGTGGCACCGTTTAACAAAACAAAAAAAAGATACCCACAGGGGCGATTTTTATACGGTCACATTTTCATGTGGACGTATATTGCAATTTGTTTGTGGACACACGTCTTTTCACAATTTGTTTGTGGACACTATACAGGTCACAATATTTTTTCCGATTTTATCTCCCAAAGATCTCGGTTCATTTTGAAATTGGCATGGATTATGACCCATAATTGTACCAAAAAAGCACGTTTTACCTATTGGACATTCTAGAGGTCACAATATTTATTTGATTTTGATGAAACTTGAGACGTATATGTTTATAACCAACCCAAAGGTCTCAGTTCCTTTCGATATTCGGGCATATCGGGCTGTAACTTTCTGGACTATAGCCTCTGCTTGTACGACAAATCGCGTTTATAGCGTGCGATCCCTCTAGAAGTCACAATTTTTATCCGAATAAAACACCGTTCGAATATATCATCGTTACACCACAATGACAGTTGAGCTCGAATTTTGTGACAATTGGATCGACACTTCCAGACAAAATGGCCGTTCCTCGTACGCAAATAGTACAGACGTATGGTATATCAAGGTTGTGGACCCTCTAGGGGCCACAAATTTGAACCGATTTTGATGAATCTTAAAATATATTTTTATATCCGAAAAAATAAATATTCGTGGATATCGGACGGACACGGGTGACAATATACGTCCAGATGTTTCGTAGTTATTCCCTATATCACAAAAACCGTGTGAACGCGACAGAGGCTGTAGATTTCGACCTTTTGTTAACAGTGTTATGTTCCCTTTTCCGATAGCCTTCTGAACTCGATAGAGGCTATAGCGTTTAACAGATTATTTTCAAATTTGAGTACATGAGAGAATGAACAAAATCTAGTTATCCCCCCTTTGCCGAAAACCTTGTACACGCGACATTGGCTACATTTCTTTAACGAACCGTTTTCAAATTCGGTTGTAAGCATCGAGGTCATGAGAAGATGAACGCTTTCGATTTTCAGCGGATCTTTTGTTTCCATTCCTAACTTACTGCAATGCATATATATTTAATGCATTGTCGTCCCTTGTGGATAGTGTCTGACAGTATAATTGATTGCATAGCAAACTGAAAAAATCCGTCCAAGGAGAACATTATTCAGGTAATTGGGTAGATTTTGATTATTACATCTAGTAATTGTATAATGAATTGGATTAAAGGGATTAAGGTGAATAATAGACATGAATATGTTGATAAAATTATAATTTATCAAGTTTTAATGTGGCAGTAACTCCGCGTATAGTTGATAAACGAGTCTAATGTCGAATACACTAACCTTGTATATCGATTACAATGATTGGTAAGAGCATTGGGTCCTCAAAATATGTAGCCAAAACTCAATTTTCGTTCGGTTGATCATTTTATTAACATTTACAACAGTGGTTCCCAAGTCACCGATCCCTTGGGACATTTTACACATCTCCAAGGAACCCATACATCTGCATCTAAACTGGTAGGACATAATTCCCATATTAGGGGCGTTGGAACTTACACATAAACCCATCTTTATCTGAAAAACAAAATTAAGAAACGCATATGAATGAAATAATTTAACATCACACACTCCTGTTTGTCCACAATACGCGCATTTATTCTGATCAAAACGTGGTACGTTAACCATTAGCAAGATGATTGCAAACGCTATTCATTTGAATTACCAACAATTTCATATTGAATTGTACTTGGCTATATTTGATTCACGGTCCCCAGTCGTCCCAGCGGATACCCCATGCTTATTTGCCGGACCCGTAGCCCTGCCCCTATGTTGTGAACGCCATGTTAAATGAAATGAAATGGGGTTTAACGTTCTACTGTTCTGCTCCTAAACTGGGCTAATGAAGACGGGCATACGCCATACAGTGTGCTATGAGGGAAATTTTGCCAAAGCAGCGGCGCTACGGCCTACTCTTATATCGAATTCCAACTGCCAAGGGATGTTTTACGTGCACGCCAATATGTACACGGGACCTCGGTTTTTCGTCCCATCCGAACGACTAGACAGCTGTCCTTGTCAGGCCCTCCGTCCTGCATCACTGACAAGGGGAAACCACGCCGGAAAATCTGGATGAACTTTTTCGACCAATGTAGGGATCGAATACCCGACCTGCGGGCTAGCGAGCCAACGTCTTACCCACTTAGCCACGTGATTCCCGAACGCCATGTTAAGCTACAGTTTATAACAGATTTGATTTGAAGCAGATTGGAGTCATAGACCTTCCCGTTCCAGAGTTAGACCGCCACCCCCACACCCCTTTGTCGAAACCCTTGTAACGCGACAGAGGCTATAGTTTTTAAAGGATTTCGTTCACATTTTGAGGGAAGCATTGGGGTCATAGGTTGAACCCTACAGATATTAAGCCAGGGGTGCACAATTTCACTAATACTCAATAGGGGTACCACATTTATGGCCACTGACATGTCTCTTATGTCCCTTCATCCACATATGTATGACATTTTGGGGGTTGAACATCATTAAGGGTGGCCCTTCCAACATTACATGCAGCTGAGAACTCAGTTTTTTTTGTATGATTTTTGCACGCAGTCTAGTTTTTAAGATTTTCATTTGGGAAAAAACTCTTTCACATTTTGCAGTCGAGATACTAATACAAAGAAATAACTCAACTAAAGTAAGTATATTACACAGTCTTTCCGGGGCAGTTTGCATTAGCATTATGTAGGAATCACACTGGTCAGACTGAGACACAGACATGGAATTTAAAATGGATTTCATTGACTGTTATTCATTTTGCAGTACTGATTCTAATATGTCAACACTCTTCATTACACAACCAAAATGTTTCACTAAATTATGTAGTTCTTGTACACCATGTTTAGAGAGTTGCTGTCTGTCCTTGGACCAAGAAGTAAAGTCAAACACTGCTGCAAAATCTGTCAGTGGGCTCTCGTTAAAGACAGGAAACCTGAAAATATATTTTAAAGAAAGTGGCAATTGGTTTCCATTCACTACCTTTAATAACAATATGTAGATTGTAGTTTACCATAAGATCATCAGAGATTCATATGCATCAGAAAATGTCTATTTGATTGAACACCAATATTGGTAATTATGTAATGTATGTGATAAGTTATTAACTGAAGATTATCATTTAATCTAGATTAAATAAAAATAAACATACCTGTGTCTATGTAGTTGATAGTTTTTTCAATTATAGTTTTTGTTGTGTTATCATTTGAAAAGTCAATAGGTGGGTAAAATTCCTTCAAATCAATTGTTCCAAATTTCTTTTCTGATGAATTATAAGATTGTAAAAGCTCAAGCATATTACGACCAGGGTATTCTTGCAGTGTCATTAATTTCAATACTGTGGCTGCGAGAGAGAGAGAGAGAGAGAGAGAGAGAGAGAGAGAAATGGGGTTTAACGTCCACTTGACACAAACTAGGTCATTTCGGGACAAACATATTCAATTTTATTTCAATAATTCGCTTGCGCGTAGAGGTCTTTAGTAGTGGGTGGAAACCGGTGGACCCGGAGAAAACCCACGAGATTGGACAGGCAACCCTACTCCTTGTCACGTACAACCGGGAATTCGAAACAACGCAAGTTAACTCTATGACAGGCCTTATGATACAGTGCGCACGTGCTAACCATTCGGCTATCCAACCGTCCTAAATACGGTGCAGATTATCACGGAATGTATGGAAATCTGACACGTTACTGATCCGCATTCAAGAATTTTGGCACCCATCTTGTAGAAACTTTTGTCATTCCTATCGTTGGCGATAAAGTGCTAAAACCCTCTCATGAAAGATACCCACAATACTGGCAATATGTCGAGTTTTTAATCGTCAATCAGCCATCACCATGTCATACACCTGGGTAATGTTTTTCTTGAATGGATGCTGTTTCCTTCCTTACACTATACTATGCATTGTGTATTGATTGTCATAAAATAGGGCGCTTGGAGTTAGCTTCGCCATTCTGTATCTGTATGAGTACATCGAATTAACCACTACTGGCACTTAATCAACGGATGAGGAGGAGCGCTTAATGAAACTAATCACTGTGGAGGCGGGCTT